ATCTAATTGCCCTTTAACTAGTCTTCTATGAAGTGTAAAACTTGCTGATCTTTGATCACTGAATTTTCTCCAACCAGGTTCATTTTGCACCACATGTGTATATGTTGGTTGATATAGCAACAGCACATTGTAGCACTATTTCCTTAGGTGTGCGTATTACTTTTACAGGTTTAGTGGCAGCAAAAAGATGCACAATAATTTGTGAATTCACTCTTTAATGTAGAATAGTTGATTTGGTTTAGTATGGTTAACTCTAATACAGGTACTCCTGCTATGTGTGGAGTTAATAGTGATGTCCATTTAAACCCAGTTTGTCCTCATAATCAAGGGTTAGTTAGGTGTTTGTGTGTGTTTGAGAGTGTGTGAGTGAGGTCCAGTTAAACCCAGTTTGTCCTCATAATCAAGGGTTAGTCAGGTGTTTGTGTGTGTTTGTGAGGTCCAGTTAAACCCAAAATGTCCTCATAATCAAGGGTTAGTTAGGTGTTTGTGTGTGTTTGAGAGTGTGTGTGAGTGAGGTCCAGTTAAACCCAAAATGTCCTCATAATCAAGGGTTAGTTAGGTGTTTGTGTGTGTTTGAGAGTGTGTGAGTGAGGTCCAGTTAAACCCAAAATGTCCTCATAATCAAGGGTTAGTTAGGTGTTTGTGTGTGTTTGAGAGTGTGTGTGAGTGAGGTCCAGTTAAACCCAAAATGTCCCCATAATCAAGGGTTAGTTAGGGTTGTGTGTGTGTGTGTGTGAGTGAGGTCCAGTTAAACCCAAAATGTCCTCATAATCAAGGGTTAGTTAGGTGTTTGTGTGTGTTTGAGAGTGTGTGTTTGAGTGAGGTCCAGTTAAACCCAAAATGTCCTCATAATCCAGGGTTAGTTAGGTGTTTGTGTGTGTTTGAGAGTGTGTGTGAGTGAGGTCCAGTTAAACCCAAAATGTCCTCATAATCCAGGGTTAGTTAGGTGTTTGTGTGTGTTTGAGAGTGTGTGTGAGTGAGGTCCAGTTAAACCCAAAATGTCCTCATAATCCAGGGTTAGTTAGGTGTTTGTGTGTGTTTGAGAGTGTGTGTTTGAGTGAGGTCCAGTTAAACCCAAAATGTCCTCATAATCCAGGGTTAGTTAGGTGTTTGTGTTTGTTTGAGAGTGTGTGTGAGTGAGGTCCAGTTAAACCCAAAATGTCCCCATAATCAAGGGTTAGTTAGGGTTGTGTGTGTTTGAGAGTGTGTGTGAGTGAGGTCCAGTTAAACCCAAAATGTCCCCATAATCAAGGGTTAGTTAGGGTTGTGTGTGTGTATGCATGATTCATATGGTTACTGATGTCTTGAACAATCTTCTCTTTTTACATTAAAGGTGCCCTTGAATGTTTTTTATTATTATTTTATAATGTTTCCTGGGTTACCCTTATAATGTTAGTATGTTTTTTAGATAAAAAATATTCATAATTTAGAAATAAATGGCATTTTTCCTAGCCTGCTTTTAGCCTCTGATTTGAACACTCTGTTTGAAGGGGCGTGTCTGCTGTGGGATTCAGTGTAGCCAGCCACTGCTGTGATTGGCTGACATGCTTGCATATGAAATAGCTACGCATTACATGTGAAACTCTCTCCCGAATACTTTTACTACTGCTATTATACGTTTTTACTATAACAGCTATAGAGATTAACGAATCGTGAGATGTTTTTAAAGTATTTAGATCTATTCCCATCCCATAAAATGTTGCCTTGATGAGCATTGAGCAGATGACGGTGTGTTGATCGCGAGAATGAAGATCTTATCATTGCAAAGCAGTTTCTGCACTCTCTCTGCTTTCACCAATGCAAACACGATGATGTAAATACAGTAAGAGCTTCGTTGTGCAGTAACGTGCGTCATTGATTTCATAACGAGTTTGGCAAGTGTCCAGATAAACTCGCGCTGTGTGGAAAGATTGTTCTTTCTGTATATAATTTGTTCACAATTTAAATACGATTATTTTCATCCTACTAAAAGAAACGATGTGAAGCTGATATTTTAGTCACTGGCTTGACTTACTGATGCATAAACAGTATTGAACGATTTTGAGAGAAAGATTACCTGTCTGAACTTGAACAATTACACATCAGAAAGTGTTGCTTGGTAGCTCGATCCGAGGCCAGCTCTGTATTGGCCCAAGTTGAGGAAACAGTCGGTGAAATGTTTGGAAATTTCCAGAGAAAATAAAATTAACCCATTGTTTCTTCAGAGGCTCAGATAAAGGAGCTAAAAAATACTTTTGTGTTCATGTGTACATCCACACTGAGCAACTGCCATGCTTCGGCTGGGCAGTTCCGCCTGGCATTGAGGGCTGGCATTATGCAAATATTTGGAGGCGTACATATTAATGATCCCGACTATTGCGTCACAGTCGGTATTGTGTGGAGAACCGACCGTTTTTCAGGGGTGTTTTTCATAAACGTGAATTAAATGAGAACGCGAAAACAGTCCAGTTTGAGATTCACTCTATGTCATGTCCATGCACTGAACTCTTGTTATTTGACT